GAACCAGCATGTATGGTTTCTTCTTGATAAGGTTAAGCAAAAAGCATTTACTGTCGAGTGCAAATTTGCTGTTGTTGCAGCCACGAGCGTGGGCTGTTTCCACCTGGAGGTGGCTGGAGCTGCTTGCAGCAGCTAGCTGTCAGCATCGCAGGCTGCTTTCTCAGGAGTTGCAGCCCTAAGGACTGTGAGGTGAGGTGCCCTCAAATCACCCACACTTCAAACTGCCACAGATTGAGGCACTCCTCACAAGGTAAGTACTGCTTACCAGGGGAGCTGTCAGGTACGCAGGCCCTCTGATTGCAATGGCTATAAATAATCGGTCTCAAGGACGGTGCTTCAGAGCCCGCCTCACCAGGGGCTGTGGCAGAGGGTCTGCCTCTGCAGTGCCCTTCCCTGCTGGCCCCTCAGGGCCAAGAGTGCAGGTGACAGGTGGTGACCCGGGATGTCTGCCCATCAGGCTGGCCACCAGCACCTGCAGTTGTCCTGGGGGACTAACCTCCTGCCAAAGTTTCCCCCTGGGACAGGAGCACAGAGAGCTTCTCCACACTTTTGTCCCACAGGCACCAACTTGTCCCCACAGTGGCCAGTCCCTCAGCCACATGCCACCTTGCACACTGGCCAGGAGAGATGGCGAGGTGGCACCTGCCTTGGTGGCACAGAAATAGCCCTGCTGGTGGCAAAGCAGCCCTAGGCATGGGCTGCGGCTGTCAAACGGCTAGGTAGGAAACAAATCTCTCCTGCAGCAGTGGCAGCACGTCTCTCTCATAGCAAGAAGCCGGTCCGCAGAGCAGGCAAGCACTGGGCTGCTGGGAGCCCCCTCACCAGCAGTGACGAGGGGAGGCAGGAGGAAGGACAATGATGGGCAATGGGACATGAGGGCTGTGGGGCTGTGAGCTTGGGAGGGAGGATGCTGGTTCCCTCTGATGCCAGCTCCTCACGTGTCAGGAACAGTCCAAGAAGGGCCTGAGGGACACATGGAAGAGACCTGTCCCCCTCGCCCCCTCTCCTTCCTCTCTGTGCCTCCCCTGCCCTGCTGCTGGTGGAGCAGCTGGTGCGGGCACTTGCCCAGCACACACCTGGCAGCATGAGGAGGGGACCAGGAGCTCTGCTTTAGCAGTGGCAGGGGGGGCACTCAGAGACAGGGGAGCGATTCAAAAATGCGGTGGCCTTAGCATGTCAGGGCAGGTTGGAAAATAGCATTTTGCCTCCTCCCCACAGATGTATCCAATTTTTATCCATATTTATCACACCCAGTTGTACAGGGCCTGCCTCAAGAGTTGGGGGCAGGAGTTGGGGAGGTCTGGGAATTGATTTTGGAATAAACTTGAAGTGCAAGTGACTCATATTTCCTTAAAAATATATGTGTGTTTGTGTGTGTTTCTGCCTATCTAAACCCTTCCCAATCTCTCTTCCCCTCCCCCTCCAGCCTCTGTCTAGAGAAGTGAAGGCCAGATGCACTCAGAGACATCCAGATGCATTCAATCTTAGCAAATGGGTTACTTCAGTTCACATGTTTATGTTTCTAGCATGGACAATGGGAAAGAGCCTTGCTTTTTATTTTGGACAAAAGCTGGGGTTACTCACTCCCAACCCTGAGGTCACCTCAAGGGGCTCCCAGGTGTTCCTGCAAGCCTGCCGGTGTCCAGGATTTGGCTCTCTTGTCAGCTCAGAGGGAGCCCTCACCACCGCAGGGCCGTGCAGGTGCTGCTGGCAGCACAAGCTCCTTTGGGGTCGTGAATACTCCTCTCTTTCCTGCAGGACCAGAGACGTGGTGCAGGGGCAAATGGGGAGGGAGGCCATGGGGCAGGGCAGCAAGCGATCAGCAGGGATAGAGGGCTGGCAGGCTGAGGGCATCTGCAGTCTTTGGTTAGGACAACGCAACCTGGACTACAGCAGCTAAGCTGTAAGGAGTAAAATTTGAGGTGGAGGCTCAGGGGTCTTGCTGCTGTCTGTGTGCACTATTTCTATCTGGGCAACATTAACTGCAAGTAAACTGCCAATGTGTTCCAGGTCTCACACCGTTACAGCAAGCAAGCACTCGAGACAGGTCCAGCACCACTCCTCCATGTTTATAACACAAGCACATTCTCATGTTATGTAGTCATGAATTTCTGTACTGTAGATGCTTCTTCTCCACAGATTCTCAAATATTGCAAAAGTCTGGCTTTGCCCCTCAGACCCCATTAACAAAGGCTGGGCTCTCTAACATCATCGATGCTGTCACTAACTCAAAAGTGGTACATTCATTACCTGTTCCTGTTCCTTGTCTTGCAGCATGGAGAAGACAAAATCTCTTCCTGATCACACTAGTATAATTTTTCTAGCCAGAATAAACTCCTCTAGCCCAGAAAGAAATCAAGGCCTGATGTGGCAACCTATCAGAAGTAACCTTACCCTGGCTATTTTATACTGTCACAGCCCTTCTTGCATAAAGACACAAGGCCATAGTGCTGATAATAAGATCACAAATGCCAGCTCATAATTACAGAGATGAAACCAAAGGAGGGGGAGGTTTAGGGCAGACTTCTTCAGGTTGATTTGGATGCTAAAAACATCCTAGCTAGTGGTACAGATGGCCTGTAATTTAAATCCAACTATGACAAAAAGATAGAGTAAAAGGAAGCTGTGTGGTGTTTTGAGGGCAAGGGGAAGATGCATGCAAAGAATAACAAGGTTTAAACTGGAACTGGATCTGAAATGTGGAGGCACGAACACTTGATGCAGCTTTCTGGGCCTGTGGCCCAACTGGCCTGTCCCTAAAGGGAAAGCAGGGGATATGAGGGCGTCTTGGTACCAGAAAACAGGGAAAGGAGCAGAGTTTCATCTCAGGATGTGTCGAGGATGGCTCTATTTTGCATGTTACAGCTTACCACCAGGGAACAAGGGCTGCTGAAATGTAGGAAGAAAGGGAATGGGAAGTTTCCAATAGGAACAAGCATCCTCCCCTAGAGCTACCTGTCAGTACTCCCTGCAGCAGTGCGTAGAGCAGGCAAGAGGAGGGGCTGAAAGGCATGCAGGTTTACTGAAAGAGGTAAATGGCGGGAATGATACAACCAGTTGGGCATCACAACTGGGGCAACATTGGCTATGGGGTAGTGGTATTACTGAGGCTTTAACAGTTTTAGAAAGACCAAATTGACAGTGCTGTTTTCAGTTAAGGCTGGAAACAGAAAATCCTAGAGCTATTTGTGTTGTAGCTGGTTTTGCACTAACCCACTGTTATATAGCTTAGATGGGCAAACTCTAGACCTCACATACAGGAAGCTTTTTTTTTTTGACTTTCCTTTTAGTTACACCGAGATACTTGATTTTTATCACGGACAAAGCAAAACAAGTCAGTGTGGAGAGAGATACAAACTTTGGAAGTCACATAGGAAATCCTGTTAAGGACCCAATGGAGATCTTAAAATTAATTTTTTATTTAACTAACAATTCTTCTTTCCTTGAAGCCGTAGTGTTGGGAGTTTATGATTTGGTTTTCATTTGTTTGTTAAGAATAGAAGCTTACAAATGTAAAAAAGGCACTGCTGTAGGAGCACAATGAAGCAAACCTATGGCCTATGAGGAACAACATCAGGCCTATTTATTTCTGAATTTATAGCTACTAAACGCTATACGGTAACAGGAAACTTGAAATAGAGACCCTCCTATTTGAAAACATTAGGCAGACTGGTGACTTTCTCTGTTAAAGGGCACTGAGGTGCCCATCTGCCGTCCTGACAGGCAGTCATGTCCTGTTTCCCAGGAGCTAAGGTTCGAGACGTTGCTGAGAGGGTGCCACAACTTGTCAAAAGCATGGACTACTACCCACTGTTACTCATTCATGTGGGCACAAGTAACACCACAAGCCAGAACCTGGGCAGAATTAAGGATTAAGCCCTGGGGGTGCAAGCGAAAAAAAAAAAAAAAAATTGGTGCCTAAGTTATCTTTTCCTCCATGTTACCAGTTAGAGGAAAGGGAGCAGCCAGTAATGGACAGATAATGCATATCAGCTCCTGGCTACGTGGCTGGTGCTCTCGTGAGGGTTTTGACTTTTATGACAAAAAATATTCTTTGATGAAAACGGCCTGTTAGAGTGGGATGGAATCCACCTGTCTAGGAGTAGAAAGGGAATCTTTGGCAGCAGGCTGGCCAGCTTGGTGAGACGGGCTTTAAACTGAAGGACTTGGGGGGTGTGGTCCAAGGTGGCAATGCTCACGCCGTCTTATCCAACTGTGGAATAAGGCAGGCCAATCAGAGCAGCACAAATGTTCCTTAGCTGACTCCCAAGAGGAGATCCAGAAGGCCAACCACCTCAAAGGTGTGTATGGCTGTGGTGGATCCTCTTGGTCCCCTCCAGGGAAACCTGCATACTTGATTACCTCTCTGAAATGCCTGTACACCAACACATGCAGCATGGGGAA